AAAGGAGATAGTAACATTAATAATTTTGGGGCATATATGTATCACATACATATTTGCCACGTATGCAACTGATTTTTATGTGTATTACACGTCTAGAAGGTAATCAATGACAAGACTGACCCCAGTCTTCTGCGAGCTTCCTATAACTACAAACAATTAATTATTTTCTTCAATCTTATATAAATCTTGTTTTTATCATACTTTTATATATATATATAAAAAATTAAAAAATACTTTACATCTTAACCAGTGGAAAAGCACTCAAGATGTTATCAATTGGTTTAAAAATATAAAAGATAAACACCTTTATAAATTCCTCATCTTTGATATCAACGATTTCTACCCTTCAATTAGTGACAAACTCTTTAACGATTCTATCAGCTTTGCGAAAAAACATGTCTCTATAAGCGTAGAGCAAAAGTCAATTATTATTCATGCAAGGAAATCTTTACTGTTTAATAATGGCCAGGTTTGGATGAAAAAGTCAAGCGGTTTGTTTGACGTTACCATGGGTTCCCCTAGGGCTAAGATGGACTAGTGTGAGTAGAAGTGGGACAAATATATTTAAAACAACATTTTAACACAAATTTTAAATAGAAACTGATAAAATTATAATATCACCTAATCGACTTAAAAATGCTTAAGAGCTTTCACCGATCGAAATAATCAGATAGAGACGGGAAGAAGAGGGGCATAAATATTTCTTTTTTTTGTCCCACTTCACCCCAATGTAAAAAATTATTTAAGGTACATTTCAAAACTAGGGCTTCTAGTGCATGCAGGGGAACAAAGTAATTTTTGCTAAAAGAGAGGGAAAGAAATTTATTTGTTTACATTAAATAACAGTACTTAGACACCACCCTATTTAGAAACTTCAGGCTGTCCCACATCTCCCGCATCCTACTTCTCCTTACATATAATAATAAAAAAAGAGGTTACTGATGCATTATCAAGTTTTTAGAATGCATTAGTGATTAAATACAAATTTAATTAGATATTAAAGGAGTTTTCATTAGTTCGATAAGTTCACTAAAAAGAAGGGAAATTGCTGTTTCTAGGAATGTTCCTATAAAATACTCAACCTAAAAAAAAAAATACTCATAAGGGAAGTGGGGACATAACAACATATGGAGGCACAATCGTTTTTTAATATTTTCATTTAAAAAATGTTATCTAATTTTGCAAAAACAAACCACGCGTTGGTAAAACAGTTTTCTTCATTTCGCTTATGTTAAAAAGAGTGCCTGATGCGTTTCTGAGAAATTGTGCATAATAATGTTTATTTTGATGAAAATGTTATATTTTCATCATATGTTTCCTGACCTTTCTTTTGATAATTCAGGAATATTTGATTTTAGTGTTAAAGATATGTGTTATCTGCATTACTTCATTGAGTGAAAACCATTTTTGATATCAACATAACCTACTAAGCAAGCTATGAAACTGTATTTTTTCTAAAAACTCTCTTCTGGGGCAGAACTGCATATACGCACAGGAGGCACAACCGCTTACTTTTGATATTTATCAAAGTTAGGTAATTACGAATAACAATATATACAATCGTCACACTTGAATGCGTTCATGTAATAATTTGAATAGAAATAATTTTGTTTTGAGATGTTGGAAATTAGATTTAGTATTTTTTTATTTAATTTTTATAAATGAGTTTTTGATTAAAATATAAAGCTAAGATTATAAATTGATACCTTGTTATATTTATGTATACAGTGAAAAAAATGTTATTAGCCTCACCATTTACTGATCTAATATTTTGTAAATCTGTAAGCAAGTTTGTGCGGTGCATCTTTTGTATCCACACACATTTAATTATTGTTACAAACAAAACTTTTTAGATTATAATATAGCATAATTAGTTTGCGGTACATTTGAAAAAACCATAAAATGCATAATACTTGATATTTGCGGTAACAACTAGAATTAGCCTCATCAATAATTATTTTCAGTTTCTTTGTATATTTTGAACGGATGATACGGGTTTGTGAGTTTTTTTATTGTTATTTGTAAGTTAATCAAAGACTGGAAATCGTACTCATAAAGTTTTAAACATTTGGTTTTTGATACTATCAGTTGAAATGGGACAAGATAAGCTATTAACAAATGAAGAATTAGCGGTAATCAAAGCATACAAAAATAGACGCTTAACTAATCGAGAAATCGCAAAAAAAAATAACTAGAAAACCTCAAAAAGTGATTAACTATTTGTTCAAGGTTGGCGTTAATTATGGACTTATTATGGAAGTGGTGGCAAACGTAAAGTTGATAATCGTACTAAACGAATTATTGTACGTCGTGTTGCTCTTCAGCACATGGCTGCATCTCTAATTCGTGCTAATTTACAATTACCTGTATCTCTTTAACGTCTGAGACAAATATTACATGAAAATCTAAACACAGTTTGGAAAAAACGTAAACCAAAACCAAAACTTAGTGCTTCTCATAAAAAAGTTAGATTACAATTTGCAAAAGAACTTTTTTTTGGCGGAAAGAGTGGCATCAAGTTCTGTTTAGTGATGAAAAAAAGTTCAATGTAGATGGTCCTGATGGCTATCAATATTACTGGCACGTTTTTCGGAAAGAGAAAGAAACTCGTATGAGTCGTAACTTTGGTGGTGGAACTGTTATGGTTTGGGGGCTTTTTCCTTTGCTGGAAAACTTCCACTGGCCCGGATTTAAAAAAAAATGAATTCGCCGGACTACACTGACTTACTAGAAATAAGTTTGCTTGAACATAATGAGGAATTGATGGTATAGATAATGCTACTATTAATAATTCAAAACATACAAAATCTTGGTTTAGAGAAAAAAGTATTCACGTATTTGAATGTGGTTGTAGTTGTGGCATGTGGTTCAAATCTTAACCCAATTGAAAATCCACGAGGAATACTTTCAAGAAAGGTTTATGAAAATAGTAGGCTATTTGAATTTATCTCGGAGCTGAAAACTCGTATCAGAGAAGTCTAGAATGAAATATTTATAGAAAGTATCCAAAATCTTTTAACTAGTATGTCAAGTCGCATATTTGAATTCATTTAGTTGTAGCAGAAGATAAAAGGAAATAAAGTAGATTTAATAACTTTTTCACTGCCATTTTTGTTAAACTAAACAAAAAACTAAGGTGAGGCTGTTTCTCCGCTATATAATTGTGTAATTCTTAATTTAAAAAAATATATATACCATGAAAAGTGTACCTTTAACGATTTTTGTGAGGGTGCGATTGTGCCTAACAATGGGGGTAAAATTGTTTTTTTCTCTAAGTGTACTTCTTGTGCAAAAACATTTTCAAAAACTGTGTTGTTTTTTTCCTAATTGCAGCAACCCAGCAAACATATCAGCGTTGAATCAACGTTGAAAACCAGTCGCAGCGTAGAAAAAGCGTTACAGTCACAAAAACAACGTGCTTTCAACGTTGAATCAATGTCTTTTTTTGTATACTAAATCGCGGTAAATTGAAACGTTGAATAACCGTTGAAATTGTAACGTAATTTAGTTTAGGCTAGCAAAAAAAGTGAGCAATTGCGCATATAAATATGCTATAGTAGATACATAAATCTTTAAAAAAATGTTTATATATATATATATATCTATGTTACATGTGTTTGCAAAATCGATTACTTTGTTAACGTTTCCGCAACGTCATTTGCGACCGGTTTTTAACGTTGATTCAACGCTGACTTGTTTGCCGGGAATTTAAAACTGTATAATGTGGTTATTAAAATAAATTTATTGTTAGACACATTCTGCTTTTATTTTCATATAACATCAATCAAAACCTTATGGGAAAGATTGTGCCCCTACTTCCCCTTACATTGAGTTTTACATAATATATACTAATAATATATACCTTTACATACATTTAGTATGTAAAGGTATATTATTCTGAATAAAAATTAAATTTCAAATAAGATAATATAAAAAACAAATTTTAATTTTTTAATCTATGACCCGCTGTAAAATATCATTTTGGTTTTATAGCCTTTAGCTTTCGAAAAGCTGTATTTACAGTTATAAGTTCGACTGCATCTACAGTTTTGTGCACATTTATGGTTTGGGTAAACCGTCTTTAAATGTAACTCTGGACCAACATAATTAGTTACATTTTGTCTACTTGAAAAACAATGGGCGAACGTTAGTTCTTTGTTGGTGGCGACGTTGCATTTGTAACCAAAATTAACACGTTTGCGTAATATATACTCACACACACAAAAACACATTCACACACGCACACACACACACACACACACACACACATAGTTACACTTCTCTAACTTTTAATGCATGTTATGATTTAAGATTTAAGTGGTAAAAACATACTCTTCTTGAACGTTTCCAACTTCATGCAACTAAGACTAAACCGTCAATAATACATTTTAGTTACAATAAAGACTCAAAATACCTTATTTAACTACAATCCAAGAACACTGACGTTGTTGTGAACTAATACTGAAGTATAAATGTTTCACAAAAGTAGTCTTTTTAGTTGAACTCGGCATAAAACATAAAAAGAAATACCTAAGATTCAAAACCCCAATTACTTAAAGGTTATTCAGAACGCAAGCAGTTTTTTTGCAAACCGAATTGCAAAGCATTTAAACAAGTTTTAATTAAAATCTTCTAAATACTGTTTTGCAGCATTTTAAAGATTTTGAAACCATTGTTAACAAAGAAAAGTCTCACGTTGGTTTCCTTTTTCTCTATAAGTTTTTTGAATACTGCAATAAATAGAAAATTATAAAGTTATTCTTAACATATATTATTCCGTTTAAAAAGTACTTTTAAAATATGCAATTTGTAACCTAATTATTAATTATTTGAGCAGCCATGGTGCAGTGGTGAGAACGGCTTTTTAGAATCAATTGGTTTGAGACTCTGGTCACACTTGCAACATTTAGTAAGGAAAGAGGCATAAACTTTTTAGTTTAAGAATCCTCCTCACGCTCAAAATGTGGTTTTTAATAATAAAATTAAAAAAAAATACTTACAAAGCATTGCAAATGTTAGACTGAAAAGTTGAAGGAACAAAAAAAGGAACCTTAAAAAAATATCCAGGATCATTTCTAATCAACTTTAACTTGTTTAATATCTTTTGTAATTTTGTTATATACTATTTTTAATTATAAATATGCCATATATAAGTATATTATAAGTATATGTTCGTCATGTTTTATAATTTTTTAGAGTTTGGCTAAAGGTTTTATAATATTTATGTTTCAAAAAATATTATATGATTGATTTGAATAGTAATAAACAGTATATATCCTAATTAAAACATAATCACTATAGTAACCTGTTTGACTATCCATTTTTAAATCAGTCAATAATAATTTATTTACTTTTTTTTAAGGAGTTTCTTTAAATATTTATATTTTGTTAGACGGGTTATTAAATGTATTTTAAAAATTTATTTCAAATAAGCAATTGGTTTTCATTTAACTTTGTTTTTGTTTTCTATTGAAATACTAACATAACCTTAAAAAGTTATAAAAAATGTAAAAATTTGAAAATTTTAAAAATTCTTAAAAATTGCATTATTTATATTTGCTGTTTACAGTTTTTTTACATCTATGCTAGTTAATTTTTCTCAGTGCATTTGCAAAGTTTGTTATATGAGGAAGGTAAACAGAAATGTTACCTCATAATGCTGCATACATAGTTTATCAGTTGAAAACTACGTTTTTATTTATTTAACGGCTGTAATATTCGAGAAAAACATTAAAAATGGCGCAACAATACAGCATTTAACAACTATTTTAAAACCTTCATATTAAATGAATGGAGTACTACACAAATGAATGCAATTATGATATACAGCCAGTAAAACTTTAAACTTTAGTTATTTAGAAAACAATTTTTTCGATTTTTAAAAAATGTTTTTTTAATCAAATGTCGTGTTATGACTTGAAGCAAGAAAAGAAACTTAAACTAACATATGCTTTTGAAATCAAGTGGTTCTATTTAATTTTCGAGTTTTAATAAATATTTTGCTGAATAATTGCAATTACTAATGGTTAAAACTTTGCAGCATATCCCTAGAGTAATTCATTTTTTAATTTTTAAATAAAAATCGTTTTTGTGATTTTTTTTGTTTTTTGTCCATTGAAACTTGTTTTTTTTTATTGTCGGTTACAAGCACACTCCCGAGACGACTTAATATTGTTTTGATGGTTGCAACTCGATGAACTTCCATTTGTTTTATATTAAGTATTTCCATCAATTTCATATTAAGTATTTCAAGAGTTCTACATTAGTAGACCAAAAATTTTTAAATAAATGAATTTTTTTGCGATAGAAAATAGAGAAATTTTTTTACGCTTAAAATTGCCTTAAACAAAAAAATTGTAAAGGAGACTTTTATTACTACGTGTTGATTAAGGCACTGTCATATTTAAAATAACATTTGGCTCCGCATGCAGTTTATGTACTTTAGATATATTATTTAATTTTAAAAAAATTTTAAAAAAATCTTTATTCTAGTTGCAAAATACAAAAGGAAAAATAGCAATTTTTAAAGAGGAGTCGCATAAGGTCCGGAAATAAAATTGCGTTCTACTGTTGATAAAAAAAATCACTAGTTTTAGTTTTTTACCTTATTTTTTTTATCATGTACTGAATTTATAAAATATTATAACCTAAATATTAATAGCCAAATAAATATTATTAGTGCGCATAGTTACGCATTGTTACGCCTATCATTCGTTTTGTTAATTACGGTTCTGCATTATGTAAAATACACTATTTCTTAGTTTTGAAGTTGTTTCTAGACTTTTCTAACCGCAGTTATATATTCCACGCGGTCTTTCGAGTAAAATCAGCAAGCAAATTGGAACTGATACACTTATTTTCAAAAAGAATTAATGTTGTTAATTTTTTAAAATAAAAATTTAAATAATTGTTAGTTTGTTATGTATATATATATATATATATATATATATATATATATATATATATATATATATATATATATATATATATATATATATATATATATATATATATACACTCCTTTTTGATCATTAACGGGGACATTGTAAAAATGAGCATTTTCGGGGACAAATTTGAATTTAAAAATTTTCTATGAAAATTTTGTTTAAAATTTTTTTTTTTTTTTTTTTTTTTTACACGGCAACATGAGGTTAATTTATAGACTTAATGACAACTAAATATATAAATTTTTTGTAAAAAATGGTCCCCGTAAATTTTTTAAACATAAAATGGTCATTTACGGGGACCTACAATAAAATGTGTTTTTTCGGGGACATGCATAAAAATGTGCATTTTCGGGGACAAATAGTAAAACAAACTTAATTTGAAAAATTTAGTATCTTTAGCGTCATTTTAAAAATGACTTACATTTTGCAAACCAAAGTATAAGAATTAAGAATTTTCTTGACAATTTTATAGCCACTCCAGCTATAGAAAATTTCCAGTTAAAGCTCAGTAGTTAGAGCGCCTGTTTTTACTAGTTTTGGTATCAAGATAGGTTTTATTTTTAAAGACAAAATAAAGTTTGTTTAATTTAGTTAACACAGTTTCCTTGATTATGCTCTTTGACAGAACAAGTCATAACAAGGAAGCCATTTATGAACTTTTATCAAATTTAATTAGCAATTCATTAAAAAAAAAAAAAAGTTTACACAAACCTAAATCTTTTAAATTTTGACGATGGTTTTAAAAACTTCGCACAAGGATTTTTTAACGGATTTATTAAATGTCTAAACTCAAGGCTTGTTTAAAAATAGCGAAACTGATATGATCACATCTCTATATTAATTAATTTGTATTAATATAAGTATAAAGTATTGAATTATAGATCTCCGTCATGTAAAAGCGCCTAATAATTTGTGGCTCTAGGTACAATAAATTTTTTTAATTGAAACTAAAATCACAAGCTATTGTACCTAAGGTCGCTCTTCAAAAATTAGGTTTAACTCCATAAAAATTGACAACAAAGATAGACGCACAAAGTACATTAAAAATTATTTAATCTCAGATTTTTTTCAACGTGTTTATCTAGTGTTACTTGATTGCAACACTCAAATAAATAACAAATTTGAATAACATTTCTGAACACATCTGAAAAAAAAGTTTACAATTAAATATACCAGCGGCAAAAATTTATCTTACACCATCAAAAATACGTCCAATTATAACTTGCTATCGAAATGCTCTCTTAAAATCAATGTAGAAATAATAAAAAAAAAAGTCTTATAACTAATCATTTGACTGAAACGCATAACTTAGAAATAGTTATTTTTTATATAAAAATGAGAAGGCCTAGATACACGAATGAAATGACACGAATGAGAAGGCTTAGATACACGAATAAAAAATGTTATTACTTCTGAGATTTTATACTTTATTTCCTTATAAAGACATGCAAAAAATTACGGATTTTCGTGAACCAGAAAAAAAAAGTGCATTTTCGGGGACAAACTAAAAAACAAGTTTAGAAAGAAGTTTAAAAAGAAGTTTAGAAAAAGTAAAGAAAAAGTAAAGAATAAAAGAAGTTTAGAAGTTTAAAAAATGACTATAGCGCTGATTTAAAAATGACTTTAATTCTTGCAAACCAATAGGTTCACTGACTCTGTGATATGTCAAGACGTAGTATATAATTTATATTTTTACAAATACAGTAATTTTTTTTTTTAATTTTATTATAAAGGCATGCAAAAAAATGTGCATTTTCGGGGACCAACTAAAAAACAAGTTTAGTTTAAAAAATTACTAGAAGGCCGATATAAAATTGATTTTAATTTTTGCAAACCAATAGGTTCACAGCGCTCTGTGACATGACAAGACGTAGCATATAATTTATATTTTTACAAATATTGTAATTTTTTTTTTAATTTTATTATAATAACATGCAAAAAAATATGTATTTTCGGGGAGAAGTACAAAAATGTGCATTTTCGGGGACAAACTAAAAAACAAGTTTAGTTTAAAAAATGACTAAAGCGCTAATTTAAAAATGACTTTAATTCTTGCAAACCAATAGGTTCACTGACTCTGTGATATGGCAAGACGTAGTATATAATTTATATTTTTACAAAAACTGCAATTTTTTTTCTTAAATTTTATTATAAAGACATGCAAAAAAATATGCATTTTCGGGGACCAGTAAAAAAATGTGCATTTTCGGGGACCAACTAAAAAATAAGTTTAGTTTAAAAATTATTGTAGCGCTGATTTCAAAATGACTTTAATTCTTGCAAACCATTGCGCTATAGATTCACTGCGCTCTGTGATATTACAAGACGTAGTATATAATTTATATTTTTACAAATACTGCAGTTTTTTTTCTTAAACTTTATTATAAAGGCATGCAAAAATTTATGCATTTATAGGGACCAGTAAAAAAATGTGTATTTTCAAGGACCAACTAAAAAACTAGTTTAGTTTAAAAAATTATTATAGCGCCGATATAAAATTGATTTTAATTCTTGCAAACCAATAGGTTCACTGCGCTCTGACATGACAAGACATAGCATATAATTTATATTTTTACAAATATTGTAATTTTTTAATTTTTTTAATTTTATTATAATAATATGCAAAAAAATATGTATTTTCGGGGACCAGTAAAAAAATGTGCATTACTATAGCGCTAATTCGAAAATGATTTTAATTTTTGCAAACCAATAGATTCACTGCGACCTGTGTCGTAAGAAGACATAGCATGTAACTTATATTTTAACAAATACTGTAACTTAATTCTTAAATTTCATTATAAGAACACGCAGAAAAATTTTTATTTTCGGGGTTATGCGAAAAATGTGCTTATTTGGGGACAAAATAAGAAAAATAAAAATTAATTATTTGCTTCTTTATCTACTGCTGATTCAAAAATAACTTTAAATTTTGCAAACCAAAAGATTAACTGTGTTCTGACATATTACAAGACATAAAATGTATTCCCTATTTTTACAAATACTATAAATTTACACTTTAACAGCATTTATAAAGACATGTACGAAAATGCGTTTTATTAGGAACGAGTAGAAAAAAAAGTTTATTCTCAGGGACTAACTTAAAAAACAGAGTGAATAAAGTTAGCATACTTTGCGTTGATTCATAAAAGATTTGATTCAAAAAATTTTTTTACAAACTAAATGAATAACTATGCTCTTTGAATTAGCAAGGTTTAAAAATTAGGCCAT